TGAAGACAGGAGTAAGACAGGGTTGCCTACTATCGCCAATGATTTTCCTGATTGCAGTAGATTGGATAATGCGACAAACAGCGGGCAATGAGGAAACAGGTATAAAATGGACTCACACAAAAAGAGACTTGGAGGATCTGGACTTCGCCGATGATATATGTCTGATTTCCCATAAACTGGAAGATATGCAAGTGAGAAGCGACAAGTTGGCAGAAGGAGCATCAAAGATAGGACTCCAGGTGAACATAGAGAAAACGGAGGTGATGAAGATCCCTGGCCAACACCAACAGCCACAGCAACAACAACAGACAGCAATCAGCATAAATGGAAGAAACCTGAAAGAAACTACCTCCTTTACCTACTTGGGAAGCATCGTTTCAACTACAGGCGGAACTGACGAGGATATCAAAGCAAGGATCGGGAAAGCAAGGCAAGCTTTCATTACTCTCAAGTCTGTGTGGAGGTCAACATCATTCAGCGTCAAAAATAAGATCGGGATTTTCAACTCCAATGTGAAGTCAGTACTACTATACGGATCAGAGACTTGGCGTGTCACAAAGAGCACCTCAAACAAGCTATAGACCTTCATTAACAGATGTCTTCGCTCAATACTCAAGATCAAATGGCCGGAAAGGATCAGCAACAAAGATCTCTGGGAGCGAACCAGCCAGGAACCGATTGTGAAACAAATAGGCAGGGAGAAATGGAGATGGATTGGCCACACTCTGAGGAAACCATCAAGTGACATCACTAGACAAGCCCTCGAGTGGAACCCGAAAGGGAAGCGACGAGTTGGTAGTCCAAGGGTGACCTGGAGGAGATCATGCGGAGAAGAGATGAGAGCATGTGGGCAGACCTGGAGCCAGTTGAAAACTCTAGCAGAGAACCGAACGCAATGGAGACGCATGGCTGAAGCCCTATGTTCCTCTAGGAATTAAAGGAAATAATAATACTTCTAAGTTATTGTTAATGAAGTATTCTTCCCAGTCAGAACTTCTCAGCAGATCTGATAGGAATTCCCAATCGGCATTCTTATAATCCCTATACTGATAGTGCACCGGGGAATTTTTAGGTGTGTGTTTAGTTGTTAGTCGGAATGGTAGCGTGCAGTACAATATGTTGTGATCACTGTTATCAAGTTTATTTCCTACCTCTATCGAGATGGGCTCTATTTCATGACAAAGGATTAAGTCAAGAGTGTTTTCATTTCTTGTAGGGAGGCGTACGCACTGCTTCCATCCGCCTACGTCTATAGCTTGTAGTAGCTCGTCATGGATTCTAGGTCCTGTACAGGTATCCCAGTTTACTCCAGGTAAGTTGAAATCGCCACAGACTACTTTGTAGTCAAAGTCCAGCGTAGCTGCATGCTCTAGTATTTCTCCAATAGCTATATCAGCCATTTCAGGGCTATTAGGGGGTCTGTATATACATCCCACGAGAATTTTATTTTCGTTTGTGTGGATGCTTATCCACTTAGATTCAGGGAGTTTGTCAGTAGTTGGGTTATTGAAAGTATTGGAGTTAGTGGATTTAGAGACATATATTAAGCAGTCGCCTCCTCTTTTGTCAACTCTATCGTTCCTATAGATGTCGTAGTTGTCTATTACTAGCTTTGAGTCAGGTATATCAGTAGTAAGCCAGGTTTCAGTCACCATTATTAGTGTTGGCCGTTCTATGTATGCCAGGCAGCGAAGCGATGTTATTTTGTTAAGGAGAGATCTAGCATTCAGGAGCATAGTCGTTAGTAAACCAGAGTTATTGGGGGAGAGGTTAACATGGTTACTTGTTACTATTCCTACGTTATGTTTGGAGGGGCTCTGAGGTGAGACAGAGTCAGTGTGTGTACTATTTCCTGGATGAATTGTGCAGCGAGTGGGGCTATTGTTTGCTGCATCCAAAAATAATCCTGTTGCATGTTTTGACTTTTAGCATCCATGGGTGGGCATCTGCGTTCATTTACTGGTGATATATAGTTTGCTTGACCTAGGTACCCTGTGTTAAGATTACCTTGGTAATTGTACCTCATGGGTCTTTCATAGTCGTATGCATATTGGCTCACATCACATGTGTGAGTGAAGTTATTGAGAGGGTCATGTGTCGATCTATACTCATTATGTTGCTGAGGTTCAACATAGATAGTGTGAGAGTTTGGACAAGAATATGCATTAATATGGTGCCTATACGAGCCCCGTTTAGTGCTCCTTATATCCTGATGATCCGTTCTACGTTGCATTCCCATGTTATGTGCGTTGCTAGGCATATTACTCCTAGTTCGGGAAGGGGTGTTCTCATTCACATGATGGATGACTTTTTTGGGAATATGGTTTTTTACCCATGCATTGTCTTTTTTTAGACTGACATGTTGCTTATTAGACTTATTGAGAGGGAGGTATGTCGAAGTCTGGAGTGGGACTCTAGGCTTTGTCGTCTTTCTTGCAGTTTCTACTGCGGGTCTCTCGGGCTTGCATCCAGATTGAGTGTGGTCTGCCAGTGGTTTCTGGTCAGACATAGTTTGTGAGTCAATATCAACCTCATGTATGTCAGCAGGTTTTCCAGATGTGCTCTCATGTACTTTAGGATTGCACCCAGTGACACTGCTCTTACTGAGTTTCAAGTCGCTTTTACTTGCCGATTTTTTTCCAACACTATACAGGTGACTTGCTGTGCTTCAGTGTCCGTCGACACTTTAGCACTGATACCAGGTGTAGTTCTCGGTGTGGTCAATTTTCTATCGAAGGAGTTCTTGGTTGCTTGCCTTTAGTTAGTTGTTTTATCCGAGACTACTTTAATAGTCTTGAATTTAGTGGCATTAGCCAGAAGATCTTCGGCCTTCTTAAATCGTTCAGCTATTATGTAGCTGTCGAACCTAAAGAGTATAGGACAGGGATGCTTTAGGTCTTTTTTACTTAGGCGAATGCACTGACAAGGTGCACTCAAGAGATTTGCAGCCTTCAGCAATGAGTGCTGGACCGACTTAATGGGCTCGCTATCTGGTACATTATACACTATAGCGTTTTGTTTCGAAGCCAGCCTTTTAACAACTTCGCTGGATAGAAAGTCAATGGCGTTTTCTAGCTCCTTCGCATTTTCTGAGTCAGTAGGCGTCATTCTAGAGGTCATATTAAAAAGCTTTAGGATTGTAGGATCCTGCAGTTCCCTTTTCATAAGTGAGATAGTTTCGGGTATACATTCAAATGAACTTAATTTCGTTTTTAATTCATCAATCTGTAGCTGCATCTCTTTAATAATGCATGTTAAGTAAGAGAGCTCTACTTTTTCAGACAGAACATCTTCCACCTGTATTACAGGGGTCAGAGTTATGTTCGAGTCTTTTCTGTTGGGTGAACTACTAATAATAAGGGGTGGTAATGTGTTATTAGACGAGCTGGTGCTATTTTCTAAATTACTGGTGTTCACACGAACACTCTTTTTAGAATTTCGGCCCATCGTTATTAAAGATCAATCAACAGTAAGCAATAAATGAATATAAACGAAAACACGTGCAAAAAGCGTCACCTGGTTCGAACGTACCGGGCTATGTGTGGGAGGGCGATAAAGTGTCCGGAGGACTCAGATAGACTGCAGGCAGATCTAAGGCTTCTGGAAGACTGGGTGGTAACCAGTGGCATGACTTTCAACCTGAAAAAGTGCAAAGTGGTGAAGTTACGCACCTGTAGACTGCAGAATGCAAGTTACACCCTGTGCAATGAAAGCTTGTCCTGCTCAACGTCGGAACGTGACTTAGGTCTAGTTGTAACGGAGAAAATGGACACAAGCGTAAATTACACGGGGGATGTAGCGAGGGAATATGCGGTCATACACTTTACACATAGACAATTAGGTGCACTCACTCCTGAGATCTTTCCAATGTTGTATAAAACATACGTCAGACTGCATCTTGAAGTGCATAATATCATTGCACCCCCACTGCTTAAAAGAGACGCCAACCTCTTGGAAAGAGTCCAACGACGGGCAACAAAAGGAGTGGTTGGTCTCCGAAATAAACCATATGACGAAAGGCTGAAGAAATTAGGCCTATTCACACTCAGTTACCGTCGCCTGAGGGGGGATTTGATTACTGCCTACAAAATAACAAATGATCAGAATCACCCAAACAAAGATGTTCTGCCATTGAGTAGGTATAGGCTTCCTCGTGGAAATCCTAGAAGGATAGCTCATCAGAGGGCAAGGACCCGAGTGCGTTCCCACTTCTTTTCCCTGCGGGTTTGCCGTCCCTGGAATTCCTTACCGGCAGATGTAGCTATGGCACCATCTGTGGGCGCCTTTAAGCGAAGGCTGGACAACCATGCAGCGACACAAGGACTTCATCCAAATGGCCTATCCCCTTAAAATCGCATATACCATTCAAAGGTAGACAATTAAACTGGTCGTTTTACTTCTTCACATTCCCTTCAGTCTTACTCTCCTGACGGCTTTAACTACACCTATTATTATTATTATCATTATCATTATCATTATTACTGGTATATATATATATATGTATACCGGTTGACTGACTGTTGTTACGTTTTCTTATTCTTTCTCTGTCTGTTAGTCTGAATACCTTTACTAATTATATCTATTATTATTATCTCTTTTCCATTGACGACGATACCGAAAGACTAACTGGTGAAAGGATCAACTCCATTCACAGTAGTAACAGTCTTAACACACTTCATGCTACAAACCCCATATAATTAACCCCAGCACTACTGCTGTTAGAGTCAACCAAAGCTACGACAGTCGAGTGGCGGGACGAGCTACACAGACGTTTACCAAAGATCAGAAACCTCTACCTCACAATCAAGAGGCGAGCACAAAGAAATCAAATTGGTTTATACTAGCTCGTAAAAACGACATTGGATATTGGAACCTTTACCTCGTAATCAAGAAGCGAATACAAAGAAATTGGTTTATACTAGCTGGTCAAAACGATATCGGATATTGGAACCCATGAAATTTATCGTTATGACGACGGGTAACATGAACTTTCAAAACGAAAATGGATACATCAAAAAGTCCAAAGGTTTTAATTGCTAATGTTAACAGATACGATGAATATAACATCGCACAGGTATTGAAATTTATAAATCCTTTATTCTAAGTTCTTGACACAATCTTCAGTAGGAAAATCCTCAAAAAATGAAGATGAAGAGGCTATGGAGGAGGAAAACGAAGAGGAATCGAAACCATCAGGTGTTATTCAGGGATATACAGTATACGGCACTTTAGATGAAGGGATAAAACACACTCCAGATTTCGTCAATATTATAACGGTGGTAAGTCCACAAAACAGAATAAAAGGCTCTTTTTATTCTTACTTATTTGTGAATTGAAGAAATAATATAGAAGTAAAAATGTATGCCGATAAACCGCTAGTGATTAATTCAATAAAATTTGCAAACTCTTAGACTTTTTCAGTCGTATAATAAAAATTTTATTTCATATTATACGCACCAGTAAGGCTTTTTTGAATTCATTTCATTTTAGAATGAATGACTATAGTAGTTGGAATGGACTTATATGACTGCTAAAACAGGCATGATAGACCGTCTGTAGAAAGAGAGAATGGTCACTGGCTTTATCTCTTTCCTGCAGAAACCCCCAAGTAAACAGTTTGTGTGTAATTTAAGGGTCACGAAGACAAATCGACGTAAATATTTGAGCGAAAATTCAGGGAATGTGCATTATATGTCTTGAATACCCTGAGACTGTCCCGAATCCCCCGGATTCTCAAATAGGGCATATTAATCTCACCCAGCGCTTATGTGCATGTAGCGGTAAATAATTCCCCAAAATTATTAACCACAGCAATCATCACTCAACATTGGATGCTGACCATCACTGTTTAAGTCGACTTATTTAGCTGAAGGCTTACGGTCAAGCATCCCCGCCATTTGGTGCTCCGTCGTGTCACGTGCGTGCACGATTACTAGCTAGCTAAGCATTCACCTCTACCCGCGATTTTGTCCCGAAATATAATACGTACTTTGGACGACAAAATCTGGTCTTTTGCTTTACCATTTGGTACTCGAAGAACGAACACTATAGAAGTTGTTGGTATAAGATCTTGCGTTAGTATAATCCGTACAACTCGCGAACGTCGATACCCGCAGCCTCTAAACTGGTGGGCCCAACCACGAACCACATCTTCAATTCACACGCAAATAAACCCGGTGAGTTCGTTCCTTTTTGTGTTTGTTCCTGTACTCTTTTGTAATCGATATTTTCGTCATGATTGATCCTAGCCCCAAGGTTATTCAGATTCGCTCAACCGCCAAAACAATCCAGCTAGTACCATATTGGCCAGATAATGCTGAAACGTGGTTTCAGATTGCTGAGTCCGATTTTTGTGAACATGGCATAACCGATCAACGTTCACAGTTCCTTGCAGTTATTCACGCCCTACCGCGGGAATTCAGCAGGTGCGTAACTCTGCAGATGTCGGTAAGTAACTCGTACGAGTTGCTCAAAGCATCCATCCTCAAGAGAAACGTTCTCACAGATCGACAACGTCTGGATGAGTTATTTCGTAACATCGAGTTAGGAGATCAGTCAGCCGTGAGCATGCTGGCAAGAATGAAAGAGATCATTGGCCAAAGTCAGTTCGATGAAGGACTGTTTAGAGAACTATTTTTATCCAAACTGCCACAGTCAGTTCAGACTGTACTTGTGACACTTCAGGGTGTTCTCATAGATGATTTAGCTGTCTCTGCAGATAGAATTCTAGAGATAACGAAACGGCCAGTTACCGAAGTATACTCTGTTACCGAACAGACTTCGAAGAAGGATTCTGCAATGATAGAGTTAATCAACTCCGTCCAGCAGATGCTTAGGTCAGACAAGCCTAGCAATTCCTCCTATCGTCGTTCTAAATCCCCTCAACGGCAAAGTGCACGTGGACGATCTAAGTCCAACACACGCTCTCTCAAAAATCCTGACTGGTGTTGGTATCACAACACCTATGGCAAGGAAGCGAAATTTTGTCGAAAACCTTGTGATTTCGGCAAAGCCTCCAAGTCTGTGGGAAACTATCCCGCCGGCACGCGTTAGCGGCAACCGTCGCCGGTGGCACTAGCCGCTTACTTTACATCCATGATGTAATGAGCCAGACTAGATATCTAATCGACACAGGCGCCGAAGTCAGCGTCCTTCCTGCTACAGCAGCAGATCGACAGAAGGATCCTAACTTCAACCTACAGGCTGCAAATGGAAAACCAATTGCAACCTATGGTCGGAAATACGTCTATCTGAACGTAGGTTTACGCAAACCTATTCAGTGGATTTTCCTAATCGCTGACGTCACAATGCCCATCATTGGCACGGACCTACTTAATTATCATGATTTGCTCGTAGACGTCCGCCGTAAACGACTAATTGACAACACTACTAGTTTGTCTATCAAAGGCATAACTTACAGTGGCCCCAGCTTGTCAATCGTTAAGATGAAAGCAATCCTCGATCCAACTTTTCAACCGATTGTTGACAAATATCCGGAACTCAATTGCCCATCTAACGAACTCCCATGTATAACCAGCAATGTTATGCACCACATCATAACCTCAGGACAGCCCGTGACATCTAAAGCACGACGACTGGCCCCTGACAAACTGAGAATTGCCAGAAACGAATTCGATCATATGCTCACCCTTGGCATTATTCGGCCATCGAATAGTCCATGGGCATCCCCATTGCATATGGTACCGAAAAAGGATAGTAACGATTGGCGACCCACTGGTGATTACCGGCGAGTGAACGCCAAAACAACCCCTGATTGCTACCCTTTGCCTCACATACACGACTTGACGGCAACGTTATCTGGAGCATCTATATTCTCCAAAATCGACTTGGTAAAAGCATATAACCAAATCCCAATGGCAACGGAAGATATTCCGAAAACGGCTATCATCACGCCTTTCGGACTTTTCGAATTCCTACGTATGCCATTCGGCCTCCGGAATGCGGCCCAAACATTCCAACGCTTCATCGACGAAGTATTTCGCGGTCTCGACTTTGTATACGCATACTTAGACGACTGCCTCATTGCCAGTCCAGATAAGGAAACTCACCTTAGACACTTGGACTTGGCATTTGAAAGGTTACGCCAACATGGTGTTACCATCAATATACAGAAGCGTCAAATAGGCGTCGACTCACTCGATTTTCTGGGTCACACTATTGACTGTCAGGGCATACGCCCACTGGCTACTAAAGTCGAAGCGATACTGAACCTTCCGGAGCCAAAGACAATAAAATGCCTTCGCACTTTTAACGGCTTGGTAAGTTATTACCGACGTTTTATTCCTAATTGTGCTTCTCTAATTCAGCCCTTAACCGATCTCCTTCGAGGGAACAACAAGGCTATCGAACTCGACACGTCTGCTCGACATGCTTTTACTCAGGTAAAGAAAGCTATTGCGGATGCCACACTTCTTATGTATCAGGATCCAACGGCACCGTTGAGTATCTCGGTTGATGCATCAGACACTGCAATCGGCGCAGTTCTGCAACAACTAGTTAACAACGAGTGGCAACCACTCGCCTTTTTCTCGAGGCGCCTTCAATTAGCTGAAACGAAGTACAGCACATTCGGAAGAGAACTTCTAGCTATGTACTGTGCTATACGTCATTTTAGACATTCAGTTGAGGGTCGTGAATTCACCATTTTCACTGACCACAAACCTCTGACGTACTCTCTGAACTCAACTTCAGATAAGTATTCACCCAGGGAATCGCAACAACTAGATTACGTTTCACAGTTTTCATCAGATATTCGCCATGTTTCCGGAGTGAACAACACTGTGGCAGATGCCTTGTCACGTATTTGTTCTTTCACCCAAATCGACGGCATGGACCTTGTAAAACTGGCTCGTCTTCAAAAAGAGGATATTGAGCTTCAGCGTGAGTTGTCGAAAACAACTCTACAATTAGCCAAGAAACCCTTAGGTATAGGAAAGGATACTATTCTGTGTGACATTTCCACTAGTACTCCTCGCCCCATCGTGCCTAAAAGTTATCGCCGTAACGTCTTCAATACGTTGCATGGCTTATCCCATCCAGGTATTCGAACTACTGTCAAGCTCGTAACTAGTCGGTTTTGTTGGCCTGGTATTAACAAAGAAGTAAGGGAATGGGCACAGACGTGCTTAGCTTGCCAAAAGTGCAAGGTAATAAGACACACTAAAAGCCCCCTTGGCACTTTTCTTATCCCCGATGCCCGTTTCGAACACGTCCATATAGATTTAGTTGGCCCCCTTCCAGAATCTCATGGATACACCTATATGTTAACCTGCATCGATCGCTTCACACGATGGCCTGAAGCAGTACCCATCAAGGATACATCTGCTGAAACTTTCGCACGCGTCTTTGTAGAGAGATGGATCGCAAACTTTGGATGCCCATCTTCCATAACAACTGATCGTGGGCGGCAATTCGAAAGCGGTTTATTCTTCGCTTTGACTAAAATCCTTGGTTGCATGCGTTTTCGAACAACAGCCTACCACCCAAAAGCTAATGGTATGGTAGAACGTCTACACAGACAGTTGAAAGCTGGTTTATCAGCTGCAAATAACACCCATTGGACTGAATCCCTCCCGTTAGTTCTCTTAGGGATACGAAACGCTTTAAAAACCGATGCTGGTTGTACTACCTCTGAGCTAGTATATGGCACGACACTACGACTGCCAGGTGAGTTTGTTTCTCCCTCGAGCTTCCCACCAGCGGTAGATCACACCTCATACGTCAGTAGGCTTACAAACGCAATGCGTTCAGTTAGACCTGCTCCCCTCCGACCACAGTCCATTGATGTTTTTGTTCACCCTTGTTTAAAAACTTCTTCACACGTATTTGTTCGTCGCGACTCGGTACGTCGTCCTCTAGAAGCCCCGTATGACGGACCATATAAAGTCATTAAACGTATGGATAAATTCTTCGTCTTAGACAAGAAAGGCCACGAAGACACCGTCAGTATCGACCGTCTCAAACCGGCTTACTTGGAAGGTAATCCTATTAGCCTAGAGCTGAGCGTACCTAATAATCCACAAGTAATAGAATATCCTGTAGTCTTCGAAGAACTTCCTAGCACGGCGAAAGCCACCGAAACTTTGGTCGATCACTCTAAGAAAACGCGTTCTGGACGTCACGTTAGATTCCCAGAATACCTTCACACCTATTTCACATAACTGAGTGACACATCAATTTTTTTTATGTTGCATCATTAAACACAAGTAAATGATATTTTTCCTATAACCGTACATAAAATTAAATTAGATGTATATTT